CTCCTCCCCCTCCTCCTCCTCCTCCTTCTCCTCCTCTTTTGTCTATGTAGCAGTCCTGCCTTTCCTAGAACTCACTTTGTAGACCAGGCTGGCCTTGAACTCACAGAGATCCGCCTGTCTGGATGGCTTACTTTAACTGGCTATATTTTAAACACAAATCTCCACGTGTGTCTAGTGGCTGATATATTGGCCAGGATTTCCCTAAGGTTACCTTGATTGCTCAATCATGGGATTTCCTAATAATTGCAGGAATTTATCTAATTCAGAACATCAAATAGATTTAATTTCATGGCAAGAGCAGGCTTTATGTGTATTGTTTATATCCCCTGTGGTCTGTGTAACCAGGAATATTCTCTGTGTCTCTTGTTAGTGAAATTGGAGGAGACAGAAGAGTCCCCTTTGGGTTGGCCATGATAGTGCAGCTTGGGCTACATTCTGAGACCCCTTCTCAACAGACAGACAGACAAATCCCTTTGTCCAGAAGAGCCAGACTAAGGCCATACTTTAACTGGTTCAGCAGCAAGAATGGTATGCAGGTGCCTGGAAGATATTCTTTTCTCTTGACAGAGATACAGAAAAGGCTAAGAGGGAGCTACAAGATGTAAGCAACTGCTGCCAAGGAAAATACCCAAAAATCAAATTAAAAGAAAAACCCAAAAGCCAAGATGGAATGGACACTAAGGTGGCGTGAAGCAGTGGACCTGAAACTTCCTTCCATCCAAAATTCCTGGTTCCTTATAAAACAGCTTCCTTGCATTGCTCATCTTGAGGTGGAAGGAGAAATTAAGAACTTACAATGGTTATTCTCTCAGTGACAGGATCACACAGCAAAAGAAAGATTAAGCACTAGCTGTGCATAAAGACCATAGACCCAATGGCCCGATGCATTGACAGCAGCCTCACTTGTAACAGGAGAAAAAGGCTAGCCTGGGCTACATAGTAAGATTCTGTCTCAGAAAAAAAAGGAGAAACAGAGAATATGGGTATAAACAATGAAACTAAATTGTTCCAATGGAAAAGTTGACACTGTGTGGTGTTACCCTACGTTACACAGCAAACTGAGCAAATGCTCTTGCATTTACCATTGTAGAAAGATTTTCAAGACTACATGGGGGAAGCGTCCTTGTACACACATTATACAACAGAGTGTGTAAATCTAGGAGAGCCCAGATCTGGGGAGACCCAGCAACTCTGAAACAGTGGAGGAGGGAGGCAAGTGGCCAGGCTAGTCAGGGGACATCATTATCTCTGGGGCAAAGGGGGTGGGATGAAGATAAGGGCCCCTGGATGTCCTGGTAACAGCCACGTTCCTTTTGTCAGCTTGTGTAAGTAGCTGCAAGCATAGAATTGTGCAAGGTGACATCATTTCTATGAAGTCTAAAGTCACGTAGTGTTGTGTACTCCTGTGGGAAGTCTCCCATCTCTGTGTGCCAAGTTCAGCGTAGTGGGGGATTTGAGACAGAAACAGCAGATGGTGCAGAGTTCACAGGGTTCTCACCGATGCAGCCACTCTCGTTTCTGAGGCTGCATGGATCTGACATTTTTTTGGTTTGCCTGAAATTCTTCCTCAAAATCAGAAAAAGCCAAAGCATTTTGCCCCCAGTGTGGGCAACTCAGACTCCAAGACCAGATGGATCAGTGAGGGGACTCAGGAAGCCAGGTGAATGCCAAGTTAACCTCCAGGTACCTCCCACCAGGGGCTAAAGATAGAAGCCTGCAGACAACCTGTGTGTATGGAGCAAAGACAGCAAAAGGGAAGTGAGCCTGCTGGCTTCAAGTGAGGAATGTGAGCAGGTGTCTGAGCAAGAGCAGCGTCCTGGGGCCACATCCTACATTCTTCGGACAGATCCTTCTCATCTGTTTCTATGAGAAAGGTTTTGTTCTGCCCGTCTCCTAGCATAGTTCTTCTCCAGCAAGTGTGAAACAAAACTGCAAGGGATTGGAAACAGCCCCAAATAACTGGGTAAAGCAGGAAAGCGTTATGAAGCGATTATTCAGGGGTGGCTGTAGGTGGCAGCTGATGCTGGGATCCTAGCAAATGGGAGACCAAGGATCAGGAGTTTGAGGACAGCCTGGGTGACATAGAGAGACCATGTTTCCAAAAACAAATTGTGTGTGTGTTTGTGTGTGTGTTTGTGTGTGTGTGTGTGTGTGTGTGTGTGTGTGTAGAGAGAGAGACAGAGACAGAGAGAGAGACAGAGACAGAGAAAGACAGAAACAGAGAAACACACACAGAGAGAGACAAAGACACACACAGAGACAGAGGGGGGAGAGAGAGAGGAAGGGAGGAAGGGAGGGAGGTCACTTAGTATCTTTCAAGTTTTGTTTTCTTATTTGGGGACATAGTCTAGGACAGAGGTTTAAGGAGTACAGGCCTGGAATAAGTCTCAAATCTCAGTTAGGGCTGGAGATGCTGGTCAGCTGGTAGCCTGCCTGCCTGCTTAGCCCTGGGTTCAGTCTGTAGCATCATAGGAAACTGGGTGTAGGGTGCACACCTCAAGTCCAAGTTGGG